CTGTGCTCAGATGGGAACATTCTGAGGAGCTGAGTGATGCTATCCACTCTGAGCAATGAGTGTTAATGCTGCCACTTTCATTACTATGTTTAATTAACACCCTGTCATGACTTGGCACCATTCTCAGTGCCTCAGGATGTCTGGACAAGGTCTGGCTACCATCTTCCCCAGGGTATTCCTGACAGCAAGCCCAGGGCCTGGAGGCACACAGCTCCTTGGCGACACAATATCAAACTCAAACATCTGCTCCTGCCTGTGCTTTCTCCAGTGCTGTCCTTGTCCTCTTCCACATCCTTCCAAGGAGAGAGGCAGGGACCTGGCACAGCTGGCCTGGCCCACTGCTGGCAGCGAGCCCTGTGCTGATGTTTTGGGCAGCCCTGCTTTGCTGGTGTGCCTGATTTGCTGTACAGCTGAAGTGGAGAGGACACGGGCTGATGTCAGATCCTCATCACCTGCCCACAGCTTCTGTCCTTTGCTCTACTTCTCTCCATCTCTCCTCCTTCTCTTCCTCTCTCCCCAAAGGCTTCAGCCTCCTTCTCCTGCTCACCCAGTCTAGGCAACCTTGCTTTTATGGAGGTTTTGAGGTTTTGCCTTGAGCTTTTCCAAACCTGCAGACCTGAGGCATCCAGTGCTCACAGGAGTGTGAAACCCTGTGGCCAGAACCCATGGCTTTTGTTTGCTTTTCAGCAGGGAAACAGGTCTGCAAATCCTCACATCAGAAGTCCTGGGTAGATCATAACAGATCTTTGGTAGGATGCAGGGAAGTGGAATGTGTTCATTCACAGAAAACTGCAGCTTCAGCTGCCAAATTATTTGACTTATTCTAAAACAAAGTGTTACAGTTGGTATGGAGGGCTTTTTCTTTTTTTTTTTTTCTTTATAATTTTGGGTGAAAGAGGGAGATTTGTCATACTTGTGCAGCCTAGATTTGGAGGGAAAGGTCTTGACCTTGCTCCCAAAAGGGGAAAAAAGAAGCATCAGGGCTGGCTTCTCCTGTTGTCTCACTTCATCTCCTTGACACCCTGCCTCATCCAGCTGCAACACATCATGGAAAGGCACCAGTTGTGTTGCAGACAGGTGGTGGAGGTTTTGGCTCAGGGGGCAGCAATCCAGGTGAGTTTCTGGGCATGCACTGCCCTCCTGCCTTTCCCACCTCTGCTGAGTGCAGGAAGAGCTCCCCCAAACACAGCAGTGCCTGAGTGAAGCTCTTGATCCCCAAGCTTTGACCAGGCATGATTCTGAGTCACAACCACATGGATTATTAAATAACAAAGCAGCATCTGCCTTGGAAATCTTTCCAGAAGGGCTCTGCCTTTCCTGACCCCAGCAGCAAAGGCTGCTTAGCACATGGCTGCCCCTGGGCATGCAAAACCAACCTCGTGGCTCTCCCAAACCAGGAGACAGGCAGGAGAGCTCTGCTCCTGGGCTGCCACAGCTGTGCACAGCATCCTTGGCCTCAGTGTGCTGGGGCAGCGTGCTCTGCCCCACTGCTCTGAAGTCTGAGCTAAAACAGGGAGCCTGCCCAGAGCAGCAGCTCACACTCTGGAAATTCAGGTCCTGGTGGCTGTGCCTGGAGCTGAGAGGTTCTTGCTGGGAGGCCCTTGCTGTAGGACATCTCCATTATGGAGAGCTAGCTCATGGGCAGGGATTGATGGAGCAAACTACTCTAGGAAAGATCTTTAATTCAATAAGTAGGTCTTCCCTCCCAGCCAATGCCAGACCTCTGCCCCCTCCCAGCCCTGTTGCTGGAAGTGCCATTCTTCCTGCAGAAGGCAACTCTGACTCTGCAAAGGAGCATTGAGAAGAGCTAGTGAGCCCCTGGGCTTGTCCACACAGTCCTGGTGCACTGGGCTGCTCCTCTGGGCAGGTCTGGGGTGCCCCCATCAGCACCAGTCACACACTGCTGACTGAGGCCTTCCTCTCAGCTGCTCATTGCTCTGCCAGACCCCAAGTGCTGCAGCTGAATATTTCAATGCCAAGTGTCTGCCCCAGGCTGATTTATCTTTTTTCCTTTAAACAGAAGCTTCAGCAATAATTGGATCTGTTGTTTCTCAGAGCGAGACTAAGGAAAAATATGTTCATAAAAAATGCTGCTATGCTGGAGAAATGCAGCGCCTCTGGCCTCAGTGGACATCTGCATTCCCCACTCCTCTTGCTTCCCACATGGAGCCATGAAGGGATGCCCAGCTGGCCACCTCTGCTCCACGTGCTGTTCCTCATGTCCTGAATACTGGAGTTTCCTTTGGAGGGGTGCAGAGCTGTCTGAGCAAATCAACCAAACTCTTTTCTCTGCATTTTGTACTACCAGGGCTTGTGAGTATCTCTGTGTCTCTCACCCCTCTTTCTCTCTGCTCTACAGGCCTTCAGTGAAAAATCAGCTTATTTTAACATGTGAAATGAACCCTGGTGCTGTAACACGACCTCAGGAGAGCAGCCTGTGAAGAGAGCTGCCCCTGGGGAGACAGCACACACATGGCAAGGGGTACAGCCCCACTCCAAAGAGAATGCTAAACCCATGTGAGGCCACACCTGTGCTTGTCAGGCAGTCCCATCCAGCCCAGCACTAAGGTAGGAAACCAGCAGGGAAAAGCATGCTAAAGAACCTGAGTCTCTTTTTTTCTACCTCCAGTTCCAGCTGTTATTCTTTTAGTGAGTGAGAGGAATTCAAGCTATTTGTTCCTGGCTGTCAGACCTTAGCTTCTGGGCTGTTGCCTCTTATTTGTTTTTAGTTGCCTGGCTCCTCACAGTGATCTATTTCTTCCTGTGTACTTCAGTATTCCACCCTATGGGCAATGATTTCCCCTTTGTCACCAAAATATTGCATTACCATTCATCTGTTTTTTTCTGTGTTAAGTTTGTTTAGAAAAGCAAGGAACAAGAAAACCAGCAGACTGAAAGGAGTTTCATCTCATCCTCTTTTCAGTGCTGCCTACTACCCGCTCCTTTCTAGTCAGGTTGCTCCTCATCTTCAGTGCTCTCACTAATCCTCAGCTTTGCTGGCTTAACTGTTAATTTTCCTCTTGCAGGCATTTTCTGTGGAGTCCAGGCAGATGAGATCTGCTGCCATGCCTTTGTCTAGGGATGTATTTCACCAAAGCAGTGCCATCTGTGTAGAACATGACTCACCTGTGGTAAAACCCACCTTGCTGGATGAATTTTGGTTACCTTTGCCTTCCATCCAGGTCCTCCCTTGTCAGGAGGTGTGCAAGGCTTGCGTCCTGCCTGTGTGCTCAGGTCTGTGTATCCATCAATGCTGTTCTTCTTCCTTCTAGTACCGCATTTCCCCTTCCTGCCCTGCTTGCCACATCCTTTAGAATCCCAGCTACCAGCCCTTTGCTTTGTTCTGGGATCTCCCTCTGAGTTTGGATTTGGAGTTTGTCTTACTCTCTCCTTCACTCAGTTAAAGCACATCAGTCTTTTACTGGAAATGTCCCTGTCCAAGTCCTCTTTTACTGGAAATGTCCATATCCTCCCTATCAACCTTTGCACCTTTCCTCTTTTATTCCTGATCCTCCTCCTCCCCGAGAACTTGACCTGATATTTCTTTCCATTAAGGTCAACCCTCCATTTTCTTTTTGACAAACAAAATAATGTGAGTGCTTTATGTGCCTGCTGGAAAGCTTGGGGAGGTTTTGCCCCTGGACCACTGAGATAATTTGGCTCCTTTCTGGATCCTCTCCTTCCAGCAATGTTCTCAGAGTGTTGTTACCACATTGGAGGCAGTGGGTTGGGATTCATGTTACCAGCATGGATCACAGGTGTATTTCACTTGCTTCCCCATTATTCCCAGTGGAATGCCCATTACCTCTGGCCACAGCTTTATGCAGTTAGCTCATGAGCTCCAAACCCCTTCCAGAACCTCTGCTTTCCAGTCACAGCACTGTGGGAGTCCTCCTGGAATTCCTTATTCCAGGAACAACTTTGAGCAGTAAAATGCTGTTTAAGCGGGCTTTGCTCGCTGAACTGTGGAGGCTGCTTTGCATGGCTGCCCTGTGCTCCTCATTATTCATCACTTTGAATCTCTTTGTCATTTATGCACTCTAACAGCACTGAGATTTGCATCTGCTTCCCAGCCCTGGAAGTGCTGGAAAGTGTCAGGCCTCGAGCAGCTCCCCAAAGAGCCCTGCTTGAAACACTCCCATCTGCAGATGATTCACCACTGACAATTTCTTGTTGAGATCTGTCAGCCAGCTCTTAATGTAGTAAACGTGTGGTTTATTGATATTATATACTGCTGATTTTTTAATCAGAGTGTTGTACAGCCGAGTGTCAGATGCCTCACAACAGTCCTCCCTAAAGCTGACTTGGAGCCAGCCTTGGAGTCAAGTGGTAGGTGTGATATGTGTCAGATAATTGTGTCATCTCATCAGGGCAGGCCCACAAATCTAGCTGAGCCAGCTGTTAAATGTATTCCCAGCCTCTGCCATCACTTACCACCACAAAACTCTTGGGAAATTGATTCCAGCTTATTGCTGCCTCCCTCTTCCACACATCAGTGTGGCCTCTCCTTGGTCAGGCAGGGTACCTGGTGCTCAGCACTGGGCAAGCCCAAGGAAAATGGGAAGTGCAGTGTGTGGTTCTCAATACCCTCTGTCTCCAAAGGCAGCTGAAGGTGTAATTGTGTACAAGCTGGAAACCTGGATGCTGGGGGAGCAGAGAGGATGCTGAAGAGGCCCCAGTCCTGCAGGAGATGTTCACTCATCCCAGAGCTGAACTGGACACTGAGGGGCCCAACCAAACCTTTTCCTGCTGAACACACCAGTGATGCCATCTGCTTCCATGGCCCTTGGTGGAGGCTGGAGAGACCATGTCCTAGGGGCTCTGCAGGAGAAGAGGGGGACAGGGGACAGGTGCAGCTCTGTCCCCTCTCTGCACTGCTCTGTGACTCTGATGCACTTGGGTAAAGTCAGCTGGTAATCGCACGCGGTGATAAATAGTGAGAGACAGGAGTTCCTTGCAAACAAATGAGCCTCAACTAACCTCATTTCTTCTTTTGACAGGATAACAAGCTTAGAGGATAAATTCTCCCCTGCCAGAATTTGTTTCTCTGCTGCCAGCCACCTCAGCATTTAGCAAAACCCCATTCTTTGCTCAGTTCCAGGCTGCTTGAAGCAAAGGCAGGTTCAGACCACCCTCCTCAAGTTTTGGAATCAGTCCCACTAGCTTTTCTCCTGCAGCCTGCTGTGTTTGTTCCCAACCCCCTCACCTCAGCTTGTAGCTGGCAGGGGCAGTGCTGGGGCAGGATGGCAGAGCTCACATTCACCTGAGACCCATGGTGTGGGAAAAACCAGCTGGGTGCATCAGCATCAAGGACATTTCATCTCAGCAGCCGTTGCAGTGTATCTGAAGAGGCTGTTCCCTGGTAAGTAAATTGGCAAGAACTTGGGGTTTTCCTTGGGTGTCTGTTAGGTGTTGCTTGGTTTTGAGACATTGCTGGTGTTGGACACTTTGGAAGTGCCTTTCCTACCCTTCTGGAAGTCATGCAGGCTCTCAGCTGTGTTCTGTGCATCTTGTTAAAGGAGCTTTCTCTCAGCAGAACTTAGAACCTCTCAAGAGTCCAGAAATGCCCAGAAATATGTAAAATATATTAAAATGCCCAGAAATATATGAAGTACAGAGGAAAAGAGGCCAATTTTGCAGAATTCTGGGCAGACCACCCAGAGGCTGAGGAGTTTGGGGTTCTCTGCCTGTGACTTGGGGTTTTGGAGTGCTCTGGTTATCCAGCACCTCTAAAACCCCAGCTGTGAGGTGCCGAGCAGCAGGTACATGAGGAAAGGCTTCAGTAATGTGCTGTTTAGCAGCACCCTGAAGGGACCTTCTCCTCCAGGCTTTGAGTGCCTGGTATAGTATTCATCTCTGGTGGCCCTTTTCACAGTTCCTTTGTTGCAAATAAGAGCCTGGGCCCTTATGTTCTCTTAGACAAAGGTACTGGCTAAGAGGACGTGCTTAAATAATTAAAAGAGCTTTTCTCCCCTCATGGTCACTGCGTCACATCCTCGCTGAGCACAGCTCTGTGTGCCCTGCTAAACACAGCCCTTTGCCAATTTCTCCCAATTGGTCAAGGCCTTGAAGAGTGAAATCAGCAGCATTCAAAATGAAGCACAACTCTGCCAGCATTAGGTTTTGTTACAAAGTGAAATTTGCCCACGGTTAATTTTGAGGATTTGTTAAGGGGTGCAGCCTGGGCCCCAGTCCAAGCGGTGCTGGCAGGATCAAAATCCTCCCCACACCACCAAGGCAGGCAGGCATTTCAGGGGCACCATTTGCAGCGTGGTGGTCCCTCTGTGCCAAGAAAATGCTGTCCATTTCAGCACAGGCTGCCCTGCTGCCTGCCCAGGGACTGGCCTGTCTGTCTGTCTTGCTCCAGAAGTGCTGAGCGTGTACAGTTACCACTGACTTCTTTGTGGCTTTGACAGGTTAGATCCATAGTTTGGGGGGTTTTTTATCACATCTGGTGACATCTGAGAAATGGCAGATTAAAATACAGCTCAATCTTAGCCCTGCCTGCAGATTAGCATTTTAACCAAGCTCCCAAGTGCTGGATGGAGTGCATCAGAGCACCTTTCCTTACAAGAAACTGCTGCTTGAGTGCAACTGTGATGCAAGAGCAGATCAATCTGCCCCTTTAGATTGCTGCTGCTCTGAAGTTTTGCACTTGCCCTGAATACAGAATTCCAAACAAAGCTTGAGAGCCTGTGTTGACTGAGAATAAGATTTGTGCAAACCCCTGCCAAGTGATAAGGCAGCTCCCCCTGGCTCTGGGAACGGAGCTTTCATCCCCAGCCACGCTCAGGTGTGAGGGGAAGCTGGAACTCCATGAGAACACCCAATCCTGCAGCTCTGGGGCATGTGGAGAGTCTTGAAAATGCACACTGGGTGTCTTTCACCTGTGGTTTACCAGGGAGGCAAATCAACAATTTGCTTAAGAAAATATCTTTACAATCCAGCACATTGATTATCAAATGTGTAACCAATAGATGCTTGAAAGGTGCCTTGGCTTTGCATATCTCTGTTTGAATTCTGACTCCACAGAGACAATATGGCTTTCCCAAAGCTGCTTCCTGCTGTGTGTTAGACTGGTCACTGGGGCTCCAGATTGCAGCAATCAGGTGGGATGTGCCTATCTTTGTTTCCAACCAAGGGACAAACTTTGCCCTTTGCAGTGCCTGCAGAGCAGTGAGCAATGAGTGTTTGTGGGAATATCAGATAGCTGGGTTTATAACCTGCCCAACCTTGCCTGGGAGAATCCCTGCTGCCCTTGCAAGGCAGAAGTGAGTCTCCCTGTGCAGCTGGGAGTCCCCTGCCTGCAGGGAGTGTTGCAGCAGAGGGCATGGGGAGATGCTGTGCCGGGGCAAGGCTCTCCCTGCCTGCCCCTGTGCCCTCTGAAGGTGCAGAACTGCAGCCTCTGCTGTGAGGGTAGGCATGAACAGTCCACAGCCATGCAAAACTTTACCTCAAAACTGAGACATTTCCCAATACAGCTGGAAAAAAGTTGTGCTCTGTTGTGCTGCATTGCCCAAGCTACCTGCTTATAAACATCCCCCTACCTGGTGTCTGTTTTTGTGCTCCTTCTGCTCCCTTTTCCTGCTGAATGCTGTCCCTCTCCTGGCTTTTGTGGTGTTGTCCTTTGTGCAGCAAAATGCCTCTTGTCATCCCTGCAAAGAGCAATCTCAAGGCTCTCAGGTCTTGGGGACTCCACTATGGGGTGAGTTTCTACAGCACCTTTCTGCTCTCAGGGTGGGTACATCATTGGGTTTCAGAGACTCTTGGGAGGTTTCTGTAGGAGGAGAGGGTTTGCACCTGGAGCCTGGGTTCTCATTTTGGACTGCTCAAGGCCCTCCTGCTGGCAGGGAAGGTAGGAGCTGGTTTCAGACTAACTCCGGGATTTAACTTTAGGATTCCCTTCAGGCTTTGCCTGCCCATCTCCCCAGGCCAGTGTCACACTGCACCAGCAGCAAGATCTGTGGCAACAGAGCTGCTGGCCTGTCTTGCAGAGCCCCAGATACTGAGCTCTGAAGTTAAAAAGAAGTTAATGAGACAATCAGGGCTGACATGGAAACAAAATATTGCCCTCCAAAACTCTTCCCTTTGTTGTTTTCCTGCACGTCTCAGTGCATTTTGTGGTTTTCTGCACTGCCTGTGCACAGCAGCCCTGAGAGCTGAGTACACACCTTCTGGGGTGGTTTGTCCTCCTCCATTCCTCTTGCTCAGCCCTCCCTCATTGAATCTGATCGACTCTGAGGCCATTGATTTTAAATAAGGTCTTGGGGGAAGGTCTGAGGGTTTTGCTCTGGTTGTGTGAGGCAGGCTCTGAGTTCTGCTTGGGAGCCACTGAGCACTGCTGCTCTATTAAATGATGGTCAGTGATAGGAACACAGTCATTCCTTAATACCCCAAATTGCTGCTTTTAAACAGGCAGGGTTTGGCTCCTGGCCAGATCTCCGTGCTCCTGGCAGAATGATTCATTACCTCGTTCTGGCAAATGTATTTTCATCTGCTAGTTTAAATCTGATTTCTAGTACTCTGTGTGGGTCTCACAGCTGAGGAATTTCCTGCCCTTTATCCGCCTGTTTTCTTCCAATCTGGGCTAAAATCAATACACTTAAATAAATAAAGCCATTGGGCTCGTGACTACCTCCTGCTATGTCAGCAGCAGCAGCAAAGCTGGGTGACCAAACATTAGTTAAGCCATTTTCTTCTTCTTTAAGTCAATTTGCTGTTGTGGAGGTGGGATGGACCTCAGCAGGGTGTGTTTGCCAGGCAGCAGATCCAACAGCATGGCTTGGCATCCCATCAGTGGCATCTGCCCCTGTGCTGGTCTGTGGCCACCCCAGCCCTGCCCATCTGGGCTTGGGCTGAGCGTGGTTTTGTGGCATCTTTTAGTGCTCTGCGATGGGGATGCTCTGCCACTGGGCTCAAGAGGATGTAGCCCTGTCCTTTTACAGCATTTCCAGGTGTGGCTTTCACTTCTGCTCTTCCCTGGCAAACATGTGTTGTTATAGGACACAAAGAAACACAAGCGCACACTGCTCAAGGGATGGAAAAGGGAAGTTTATTCTCTGACTCCAGCATTTATAGGTTTCCAAAAGTGACAGTGGATTGGAGGGTGACAGTGCCACCTCTCCAATGACACTGCACTGGTCAAACCAACAGTTTATCAACTTTCTCTTTTTCTATAAAGGAACGCAAAACAATGAGATGTTTACAGAAAGTGTGTGAGAAAGTTCACTACAAGAATGTCAACATCAGAAGGCTTAGAAAATCTTAAAAAACTGAAATGTCAGACATGATTTTCAGGTCTGCTGCTTCTGAGAGGGTTGTACACTGCATGGCAGGGATTTCTCCCCCTGCAGAGGGGGATGCTGGCAGGAGCATCCCACACCAGGATTCACACATCCATTTCTTCTGGGGCCAGGGGAAAAAGGGAAGGGCGGCATGAAATGAGGTCTTCTCTTTCTTCCCTAATGCCAGGAATTACCCCTGGAGCACTGGGTTCAAGGAGCAAAAAAACACACTTGATTTCTAGACCAAGCCTTAGGGTTTCTGCAGCCCTGCCCTGGTGTGTGGGGTGTGGACAAAATGGGGTTTTGCTGGTGGCTATTAAGTGTGTTCCCTGCCCTGGGCTGAGCTCACTGCTGTGTGCTGGGCAGGGAAAACATTAGTGCACTGGAAAACATCCTCAGCTCCCCACAGATCTTCACAGAGCCCAGTAACTCAGCTCTGCATCCATGTGAAGAGCAGAAATTGTGCTCCTGGGCCTCAGTCTGGTGCCAGCTTCCAAATTACAGTGTAAGCCCTGCTCCAAAGGTCTCCCCTTGACTCAGGGCAATCGTTCAGAGATGTCTCTGTGCAGCAGCTGCAAGGATGGAAGGAAACTGCCTTTTTAACGTTCTCTGTATGTGCTGGGGTTTGGGGTTTGTGCTTTTTTGTTTTGTTTTTGGGGTTTTTTTAAAGGAAAATTATTTTGAACTAAATTGAAAATAGTGACAAACATAAAATTTTTTATTAATAGAATCATAGAGTGGTCTGGGTTAAAAAGAACCTTTAAAGGTCATGTACTCCAATCTCCCTGCCATCTGCAGGGACAGCTTCAACTAGATGAGGTTGCACAGAGCCCTGTCCAACCCGACCATGAATATTTCCAGGGATAAGGCATCTAACTCTCTGGGCAACCTGTTCTTATGTTTTACCACTCCCATTGTAAAAACTTTCTTCTGTCTATCTAATCTGAACTGGCACTGCTCAGTGTAAAACCCCTTGTGTTCTGTCACTACAGGCCCTGCTGAAGTGGAGGTCAGGTCTTTCTTGTGGTCCCCTGTAGGTACTGAAAGCTGCCCCAGGAGCTGCTCGGAAGGTGAGCACAGGTATCACTGATATCTCCCCAGTGCAATGGAGTGGAAAGGAGACAGGCTCTGTTTACACACAGATACCTGTGCAGCCAGCAGCGTTAGTGAGAGCAAACAGAAAAGGACATGACAGTTACACTGGGTTTTCATTAAATATTAAATGGAGTGAAGTTTTCTGGAGTGTGCCTGGGCTGTTTCCCATTGTCTGTCTGATGGCATGAGAGGGAAGCCCAGTGGGTGAGCCCTGGGCCTGGGGGTGCAGGGTTTCCTGCTGTGGTGCCAGAAGCTTTGTGTGCAGGCTGCCCAAGGAGCTCTTTTCGCCCAGAGCAGCAAAGCAAACTCCTCCAGCTGTCCCACTGCTGGCACAGCCCAGAGAGAGGAGGTCACTCCTGCAGGAGTCTCCAGAAAGGGCTCAGGGAAGGGAGGGAACTGGTGTAGAGCTGGCCCAGGCTGGAGCAGCAATGGCAAGCAGCAAACACTTGCCTGGCTGCTGGCTGGGGAC